ATGTATCTGAAAGAATCGAGACACAAATGGATACTTACATGCCAATGTTAGAAGCATTATTCGCAACATCCAAATGGTGGAAGTGTCCATCAAGAGATGAATAAAATGTGGTCTCCCCATACAATGGAGTATTATTCGGCCATGATGAAATCAAGTACTGATACATGCTACAAGCTGGATAAACCTGGAACACATACTAAGTGAAAGAAGCCAGACACAAAAGCCCACATTTTATATAAACCCATTTAAATAAAATACCCAGAACAGACAAATCTGGGCAGAAAGCAGACTAGTGGTTGCCAGGGTTATGGGGGAAATGCTAAGTGACTGCTTAATGGCTACAGGGTTTCCTTTTGGGGTGATGAAGTTCTAGATGATTGTGAGGGTTGCACAATACTGAATGTACTTAATACCAGAGAACTATACACTTTAAAACTTACATTTTATTACATCTACATTACCACAATTTTTACAAACAACAACAACAAAAAACAATCCACAGGCCCTCCCCACAAAGCAGAGCCTATCTCACTAACCTTATTACTATATGCTAGGACATCAGACTAGAAGAGACTCAGGCAAGTGTACACAGTTCCTTCCACAGTATTCTACAAGTAGGTAAGTTACTACTTCTTCCTGGGAAAAGAATAAACATTGGAGAAGAAAAATATGCTCCTCTAACATTTTTCCTCTCCTGAGATTTTAAGTGTATGGTAGACTAAGATAGTTACAAATTATCTGACATTCTACCCATCAAGAAGTGGGGCCTATGACCCTTAAATCTAGCCAAGCTAAGAATGACCATTAAAATATGGGAGAAATGACACTGGACCAATTTGGGGCCCAGATGTTTAAAAAATGACAGCTTTCATGCTTCCTGAAATACTTGATCTTGAAACCTACCAACCATGTTGTAAAGAAGCACAAATAGCCCTGCGGAAAGGCCCATGTTGCAGAGGAACTGAAGCCCCAACCACACTCCCAGGTGCATGTAGCAATTCCAGAGCCATGTGAGTAAGTTTTCTCGGAAGTAAATACTCCAGACCCAGTCAAGTCCTCCAGCAATATTCACCAAGCCCTGCCAATACTGCAGGATAGCTTGTTATGAAGCATCAGATAACACAGCACAGTGGAAATTCCCTTCCCTCTCTTGGAGCAGATAATGTGTCTAAACAGCTTACAAAAAAAAAAAAAAAATCTAGCTTCAACACAAAGCAAGTATTTCAGCTCTGGTCTTTTGAGGAAAAACTATACTGGGAGCTCTAGTATGTGCCTAGCTGTTTTAAGCATAGTGGGGCAAGCACGACACACTGGTGCTATGATCTGGGGCAGGTTACATTACAACAGGGGGTCTGAAATAGAACAAATGTTAACATGTTCAAATTGGAATCACGGTCTGAGCCATGTGCTTCATCACTGTCCAGTTCTGAAAGAAACCTCAACCTCATTCTCCTCAATCTCACCAAAGCAAAAATGGGGGGGGGGTGCTTTTGCTCCATTTCTGAACGGATGCCTATAAAAAATATTTCAGATGGGCTGGGAAGGTAATACTCCTCCTGCAGGCAAGGAAAGGCAGCTCTGAGGAAAATGGCTGGAGAGACCAAGAACCCTTTCCCTCACACTTCAGCCTGTGTAACAAAGGGGTATGTGCTTGTTTAATTTATAAAATCTATTCGGGGGATCAAAAGCTAGTAACTCTTTTCTCTTTTTACTTTTTGGTAGAAAACAATTTCCCATATTCTCTTCCTAAATCAGCTCCCCCCTCCCCTGTGCACGTGCACACAATCACCCACATTAGAAAACAAATATGTTGTAGTACTTCCCATCTTAAAAAAATACAGAAGGTAAAACTTCCTCTACACCACCACTCCCATCTCCTTATTTAGCCCCCATTTCTGATTCTCTTTGCTTCAAAATTCTGTGTCTCCTGGTATCTACAGTCTGCTCTCACCAGAATTTTACCCTCATCACTCTATAAAACCCCTATCACAGTTATGAGGGGGGTAGCTCCCTTAACGGATACGGAGATTAATATTCAAACCATGATGGGTATATAGAGTAAGAGCATTTAACAGTTCATTTACCATCTTTCTCCTTGTAAAAAAGTGCCTTGCTTGCTCTCAGGGCCTCTCCAGTCTACTTCGTTGGTTTCCTCTCCTCTCCCTGAATGTGAAGTTAGAGCAAACCAGGCCTCAATTCTCACAAAGTGTGTTTATCAACACTCTCTACAATTCATCTGGTCAAGATTTCTCAACCGTAGCACTGTAACATTCTGGAGCAGATAAATGTTTGTTGTGGGAGCTGTCCTGTGCTTCTCAGAATGTTTAGTAGCATCCTTGACCTCTACTCACTAAATGCCCATAGCAGCCCCAATCACGATGTCAAGAATGTGTCTCCATGGGTGCCTAGGTGGCTCAGACATTAGGGCGTCTGCCTTCGGCTTGGGTCATGCTCTCCAGGTCCTGGGATGGAGCCCCACATCAGGCTCTCGGCTCACTGGTAGTCTGCTTCTCCCTCTCCCTCTGCTTCTCCTGCTTGTGCTCTCTCTCTCTCAAATGAATAAATAATATCTTAAAAAAGAATGTGTCTCTAGACATTGCCAACAGCCCCTGGGCGGGGGGGCAAAATTGCTTCTGGCTCAGAACCACTGGCCTAGTTCTTTGGCTTTCAATACCAGATATATACACTGGCAGCTGTATATACACCATATACACTGGCTATAGCTTGAACCCTCTCCAACTGCCTTCTCGTTACGTCCACTTATATGTCCTATCAAGTATATCCTACTTAATACGTCAAAACTAAAATTCTGATTTATACTCTGCCCCATATATGTCTGTACCTTGTCACCCTGTTTGACACCTCTCTTGCTCTTAACCTCACAGTTTTATCCATCAGTAAATCCTACTGGCTCTGCTCTCAAAATATACCCCAAATCTGACTACTACTTAATACCTCCACTGCTACCAAGCCCAAGCCCATATGATCCCTCACTAAAATTATTACCTCCTAACAATTTCCCTGCTTCCACCTTGGTTCCCCTAGTCCAGTGGTTCTCACCTAGGAACTTTTTAGAAATGCAAATTCTCCTCCAAACCTAGTAAATTAGAAACTCTGGGGATGGGACACAAAAACTAGGGTAATTAAGTCCTCCACATCTGAGGCCACTCCCTGCCCCCACCTCTCCAATCATATTCCCTATACCACCTTCTCCCTAGCTCACCGTGCTCAGTCACAGTGAACTTCCTGTGTTCTATAAGCACTCAGAGCACTCCCACTACTGAGCCTTTTCAATAGTTGTCTCTCTTCCTGGAAAGTTATTCACCCTCACAGATAATCTTCAAGTCTCTATTTAAATAATGTCCCCGTTTCAACGAGTACTTCTTGGACTAGCCTACATAAAATAGAAACACCTTCTTCCTGAACTAGCTTCCTTACTCTGCTTAATTTTTCACCAAAGCCCTCTGTTACTACCTAACCAGGCTATGTGTCTGTTTTGTTTACTACTGTTTCCCTACATTCTACTATGTAAACCCCATATGGACATGTTTTATTTACTGTTATACTTTGAACAACTGGAAAAGAACCCTATACTTAACAGATGTTCAATAAGTATTAACTTTCTGAGGCAATGGCTGCCTGTGGTCCATTAGAGGAATGATACAAAGAAATCAAGAATATTTAATGTTACTTAAAAAAATACCAAGAAAATTTCAGGGCAGGGGAAAAAAACAAACAAACCCAAAACATTAAAACAAACAAACCCCAAACCCAGAGCTGTAAGGTGACTGAGAGGGACAGATGCAGCAGCTGACAGTAAAGGCTAAGGAGTTCAGAGTAAATTATACTGGTCAGCGAAGTTTATGGAAGACTTCAGAACTGAGCCCAGAAGGAATGGTCGGCCTTCTGTAAACCAAGGACGACAGATGAAATTAGAGACAAGAGGACCATGTGCACTACCAGACAAGTGGAGGCTTGCTGAGGGCAATCTTCCCAAGGTGTGTTCATACAGCATTACCCTGAGGAACAGTCTGGTGAAAAGGATGGTGGAACATGCTGGATTAGACAACTTTAACAGATTTCTTTAACGCAGGGCTTCTTGGTTAACATGTTTAATGTCAATCTCTAAGAGAGAAAGTAGAGTATACAGTATTTCCCTGCCTTAACCACACAATCTTTTCTTGTTTTGCACAAGCACATAGACATGCAGCCAAGCTTAACTTCTATTACTAATGTTAGTGACATCTTTACCCACCCTCATTTTGCTGTAATTTGCCTACTAAACTAACACAGTAATGTGTCCTCAAACGAAAGACTCCTTTCATTAAACCAAGTCTGCAACTCCAATTCTGAACATGCCCAGAGGCCAGCTGTCATTTTTAATAAGATCGTGCTCAATATTCACTACACACTGTTTAGTTATCACAAATCTTCCACTTGGGAAATAAAATCCTGAAATGTTATTTTCACCACTCCATTCTTGATTCAATTTGCAATAAATAACCCAACATGAGAACAATTTAAGCCTATAATATTTTAAATGCCTTTTTAATGCTTTTGAGAATTTTAAGTATTTTGAACTCCTAAAAAGATATTTAGATCTAAGATAAACATACTAGAACCAAACAACAACAACAACAAAACAGTACCACTACAGAAGCTGGTAGGTACTCAAGAGACCACCCAATCCAGTGTGCTGAAAGAGGCCTCGCCGCCTTGTTACAAGAAATCATGATGTGTTTACTCAAAGTCAAATAACAAGTTAGGTACCAAAAACAGCAAGCAGAGCTCAGGTCAGCTGACATGCCAGTTGGTTATCTTTTTAATACACGATACAGTGAATACACAGATTTTAACTGGGGAAACTTAAAAACTGACAAAGAATGATCTGAATTGTGATAAAATCTGGGGTAAATCAACTCCAGTGGTCTTCAAAGGACATGATGAGAGAAAGTAAACTGAAGACATCCTTTTCTTTCTACAAAAGAGGCAAGACAAACCAAGTGTAAAAGCTAGAGATTTATTGTTATTTTGTGATTAATAAACTGTCAAATTGGTTATGACACTATCCCACACTGTATACCACCATTACCATTCGCCAGTACAAAAGTTTTTGAACCAGACTGAGGCATAAGGCAGAGAGAGCAAAGACACATGAATATCATCCTTAACAACCTCCTCTAGTCATGCCTCCACCTTGACCATCATTCATGTTTTCCTCCTGGGGAAGTGTCAGAACAGTGCATGGGCTGGTGGGCAACCTGGCCTCTTGACCTTTTTTAATAGCAAGCAACTTACAGAAGTAATGGAATTCAACTTGTATTTCCCTTGATTTTATTGGTCTGAACTCATTATAGGTTACTTTAACATTTTAATTTCCTGTAACTGTACATGAGAGAATATAACGACCTAAGAGAATACTGAACCAGAGTCAGCCAAATATATTACTGACCCCAAAGTTATGTTTTAATTGGTCCTAAAGGAATGTACCACACCCCAACAGTTTGAGAGTTAGGCAAACAGAACTTCTTTGGGGAGGGAAGAAAAAGGCTGCAGAACAGCCAAATGTACTCAACATTGTTAAAACGGCTCTTTGTTTTTCACCCCTGAAGGATACCTCTTTACTACACTATATGCACAGAAATCCTAACAGAATCTTGGTTGCCAGTATTATTTAGGCTGGCCCAATCCAGGAGAGATCCCCACCCCCCGCCCCCAGTTCCCCTTCTCTGAGGCTCTGAAAAGCACAATATTTAACTATTTAATAGAACTACCAAAACACTTCAGAAACAAGTGGCTCACAAATCATTTTAAATTCATGTATTGCCTGTGCATGAGAAAACTGATAAACCCAAAAGATAGTTCTATTTTTATATGGCAATTAAAAATAACTGAAACATCAAGACACTTTCAGTGAAAGCAACATTTCAATTACAAATTGTAATGCTTGTTGAACTACCTATGGGAGAAGCTGAAAAGTCCTAGGCAAATGCACTTTTGGGTTATACTACAGTGCTCCTTCAGTCTGCACAAAGATGAAGGTAAGTTACAGTCAATCTGTGAATGTTGAGACAATGTTACATTATGTTGTCTGTACAATTAAATGTCCTTAAGAGATAACCAGAATCAGTTTTCTACTATATTTTCAACAAACCTGACTAACCGGCACTTTTGCTGAGAGATGTTTATCAAAGATGCTGTAAGATTCTACACAATTAGGAAATACTCAGCTTTAAAATATTTCCTTATCTTCACTTTTTTGGTTACAGGTGCTTTGCTCAGATAATCTATTTCAGTTTTTTCTAGAAATGCAATCCCAACTGTGCATACTACATTGTATACAAATAAAGCAAAAACTGTCAGTAGTATAAATCTTACAGCATTTTGTTTGCAAAAATACATGCCAAAGTCACAATAAGCAGTACTGTACCACAAATTATAGAGCGCAAATGATTCGCTTCTTTTTAATGCTTTTATTCTACATAAATTACTACCATAGGCTAATGTTTAAAAAGCAAATAAATTGGACAGATGCAGGACAAAAATCTGTTCACCCAACTATAAAAGGTGATATTTTTTTAAAAATTACAATAAATGCAGAAGTGTTTGATGCATGCAGTAGCCTTAAATGAAAAAGCATTGATTCCCACTGTTTAAAAAAAAAAAACCAAAAAACACAGAGAAACCCACACGTCTTACTGCACTCCACCTTAAAATGCATCATATTGGGTTTGTTTATAACAGCACAGAATTCCAAGAGTCAAAATGAAATAAAGCAGGTATTTTAAAGATTTAAGAGCCGTTATCAAAAATAAATTACATTTTTTCAAGATACAGAAATGCTGCTATGATGGCTGGGAGCCCAGTAACCTTTCAATAGCGGCATTGATATCACCTCCTGTTGCTATTAGCGCTTGCAAGTTTGCTTCACGGTTCAAAAATCCCATTGCACTGAGCTGTTCCAGTTGTTGCTGAAATCTGACTTCTGGATTCTGTAGCTGTTAAAGGAAGAAAAAAAAAACACTAACCAAAACTCTAAGGAAAATCAGTCTGTGTCACACCTGGATAACCTCTAAAAAGTTTTAAATGCTCTTTTACAAATATGTGCTGGTCTACAAGCTATAAAAGCACTGGCCTCTCTTGAAACATAGTCAACATATTTAAAAGTCCATTAGCACTTAATTTTGTTTTTAAATAATCTAATTTATACTTAACCCTGTCAAACAACACAAAACTCTGCTTTAAAAAAAAAATCGCTTTTGGGGTGATCCCTGGGTGGCTCAGTCGGTTAAGCGTCCGACTCTTGATTTCGGCTCAGGTCACAATCTCAGGGTCATGAGATCAAGCCCAGCGTTGCATCAGGGAGTCTGCTTGAAATTCTCTCTCCCCATCTACCTCTGCCCACCCCCCCGCTTGCACACGCACTCTCTCTCTCAAAAATAAATAAATAAAATCTTTGGAAAAAATCACATAATAAACCTCATCTGTTACATTAGATACATTTAAGAAACTGATGAAAATGCAGAACTTAAAGGTATATATGCAAATAGTTCAGAACTAATGATTTATTTTGTAGTTATTGACCAACTGGGTAAATATAAAAGCCAGTGTCCTCATGTACAAAATTCTAAAGTTCGAATGAGGCTTAGAATGTGCATTCAAGGGTGCCTGGCTAGCTCAGTTGGTTAAGCGACTGCCTTCAGCTCAGGTCATGATCCTGGAGTCCCAGGATTGAGTCCTGTATAGGGCTCCCTGCTGAGCAGGGAGTCTGCTTCTCCCTCTGACCCTCCCCCCTCATGCTCGCTCTCTCTCTCTCGTTCTCTCTCATAAATAAATCAATCTTAAAAAAAAAAAAAAAGAATGTGCATTCAATTTCTGCACTGGCCAGTCAAGTCTTCAGGAGAGTTCCAGTTCCAGGCCCAGAGAATATACTCCTGACAATTCAGCTGCATCAAGTCTTTCTTCAGAAATGAAGTTAAGACAAAAATACATAAATGATCAATCAATCCTGCCCAATCTGATAATAAGGAGGCCTGTAGATTGCTCAACTTATGTAACAATTCTGTCCAATACCTAAAATCTTTTTTTCTTATTAATTCCATGACTATTATACTGATCCAGAAGCTATGTTAGTATTGGGACTACAAATACTTGTACAGGATAAAATCCTGCCCGTTTATTACATTTAATAAGGCTTAAAATCAGAAAGCATGCTCTATTTTTTGCCATGCAGAATTACAGGGGCAGATTCTTAGTAAAGCTAATAAATGTTTCCAGATGTAAGAACATTATTAGAAGTCCACATTTTTAAGCCATATTTATGAGGTTTATATATGTAACACAAGTTACCACAGGAAGTATTAGTGGGCAGGGAGAGAGAGGATTTTTTCTTTAAGTCAAAATACAAGGACCAGATAGAACTGTAGTTATAGTTGTTCAGGAGATATTTGGGATATTCAAGTTTCTATTCCTCCTTGACAAACTTTTATAAAATACAACATATTTCAAGTAATTTCCAAAGAGGGACTCTAAAAAACACATTTTAAACAGCAACTTCCAAATAAGGCAAAGTTGTAGTATTTCTTCCCTACAACTGTTTCCTTCAGTGTCTAATAGTACACCAAAGTCAATCATTTTTGTAATGCCTGTTTTACAAGATTGTGCTTTTCATTATACTCTAAACCCTGAAGGACTGCCGTCTTTTCTTTCTTTTTTTGGTTGTTTGTGGAAATTTCTAAATTTCCAACAAGGAATACCAAATGTGAGCAGAAAAGAATCTTCACCTGAGGATTTACTCCAGCAAGAGCCTGCAGCATTTGTTGGATAAACTGCTGGTGTCCCTGTGGTTCAGTGGTTCCTGTCGTGGGACTTGGGTTGTCACTAGGTGCAGAGTTAGAACCGTTGCTTCCTGAAGAGCCTCCAGTGCTTCCTAATGCCCCCAGGCCAGGAGTAAACCTAGGGAAGCATGAATTGGTAATAAACCTAAGCTACTGCGATAGGAGGCCAGACCAGGCCCCTGATGGTAAATCAGTTACAATTTAACACAGTGTTAGCAGTTATCTTCTTAAAATGAACATTTCTAACTTTGAAAACTCAGTCTTGAAAACAATCTCAACAAAAATAGGCAGAATGATATTTAAGAGAGAAGTAACCAATATGCACTTTCATAGTCATCCCCAAATAAGCCTACCCTGGGATGAGGCCGGGGGCTTCCGTTGCTAATGTCTGTAAACCCTGCTGAATCTGTAACAAGGCCTGCATTGCTCTAGGATTTGACATTGCCGATAATGTATCAGGATTCTGCATCTAAAGAAGAAAGAAAATAGGTGGTTAACAAGGGAATTAAAATCAGTGAAAGTAAAATTTAAATGTTTCTTTGCTATGTTTCTGGAGAAAATCTAAAACCTTACTCCCAGACACTGGTAATCCAGAATTTCTTTCCCCAGATAAACACAAGCACCTCCTCCTCAAGAGCAAACCTAGTGTGCAAACTGTTAACTAACCTCCTCCCAAGTCCATCATGAAAGCCATTTTTCATAATGAAAGACAATCAAGAGCTACTGTGGAAGCCACAACTGTTCCCATTCTCCAACAGAAGATAGAAGTGTTATTTCTAAGAGACAACCTCCAACTGCACAATTTATGTAACGTGGTTAACATATGGTAAAAGCCACATATTCCTCCCGACCGTTATCTGTTACTGATTAAATAATTTGACCAATAAGATACACTCTAAAAGAGTAGTTCCAAATTTGAAGTTAATATGTGTCTCCTGAATTCAGCTTCACTACTTCCAAATATACACCATCTGACTGACCAAAAAAGATAGGCTGACATTAACTTCATTACAAGAGGTCAAGGACAATACCTAACCTTGGATAATAGTTTACAAGCCCAAGAATCTTTTGTATAATATTTAAAAGCCCTAGAACTACCAGTTTCAAAACACCAAGACTGACTTCTCTTGTCTTTTTAAATAGTAAAATACCATTCCAATCTCAAGTTGTTTTTTTTTTTTAATAATAAAACCTTTCTTGTAGGACAACACTGACAATTTTAATCGTGCTAATTCCGAGTCTGAGGAAATGAGATCTACCCCTCAAAAAAGAGACATTCCATTAATTTGTAGGAATTAAGACATTACAAAGAAACCAAACCTATAAAACAGAACAGGGTAGCTCCTTCCTATTACTCGAGATTAGTTAAACCATAAAGCATAACATGACACAATGATGCACTTCAAAGTTAGTAAAGTGAAAGGAAATGGTTTATGGTATTAACGAAGCATTCAAAATCCTAAATCCTCAAAAGCAAAAACAAAATGGTCCTTTCCTGAGAACTTATGTTTAAGAAATATAAGCAAAAGGTCAGCAGTGAAATGGGGCTCAGTTAAGATCAAGCTGAATTCTCTGCGAATTGACAGCATTATCAAACTAATTTCTATGGTTTGCTATCAGCCAGAGAAGAGCACGGAAAATGTTTATCATCAAACTTTTTCAAGCAAATCATTACCGAAGGTAGCTAGCATCTTTTCTTACTCACTTGTTGGAGGAAAGTTGGGAGCTGTTGTCTCATTTGTTCTTGAAGCTGAGGATTTCCAGCAAATAGGGGGTTATTCAGCATCATCTATGGGGCAAGTGTTCAAACAATTTTAACTGGAAATATCTGAAACAAGTAATGTACCTTGTTTAATAGTCTATCTTCCCCCAAGTGCCTAACCTGGCACTTACAGGGAGGAAGGTAGAACATGAATAAAAAAGGAGAAGGGAAGATACTGTCCACAAGAGGGATCTCCAGAAAAAAAAACAAAAAACAAAAAAACAAAAAATGAGGCATCTTCTCTCTCAATGAGAATGATGATTATGATAATGACATGCAATATCCTAAAAAGTAAAAACAATCATTTTCTTAGGATTTTCCTTGAGCAAAGATGAGTATTTGCTCTTGAAAAAAAAATGGGGGTAACTGGTATTCAGGGGGATACATTTGCTGCTACACTGACAGAATAAACATAAGCATCGATACATGGCTTGCTCAGACCCCTCAACACACAAGTGGCAAGCACAGAGAAAAATCCAGATCTGGAACCACTATATCTATCTACCTGCCTACTGCAAAACAGCTAGTATTAGGTCCAGAAAAGTAACACCGCAGAACAGCAACCACCCTGCCAGAGAAATGGAGCTGCTTAGGTGAAAACGGCCCAGGACTAGCACCAACAGATCTCCGGGGCAAGTATTAAAATGTGTTAAGACCTGAAAGATGTAAATCCTTTTGAGAACACCAAGATTAGCCTCTGGATTTCACCTCACTACCACCAGAGATGAGGAAACTGGCATGCCTCCTAACGTTCACACAGGTGTTAAGAATTAAAGTCAGGGTCAATATTAACGTTAAAATCTGAAAATAAGATTACGGTACACGATCAGCATAACCAGAAACTAATTCTCATAGCTTTGAAAAAGATGAAAGTTTTATCACTTTCCCCAGAAGGAGTGAAAAGTCAACTGATAATGATTTACTGATCACCTATTTACCAGTCCAAAGTCTGGAGGGTAAAGTGAAATGATCCTTGCCCTCAAGTAGTTAACCACATTTGAGAGCAATTAATTATATGTACACACTAGAAGTAGAGAGAATTCCACTTTCCCTTTGTCTATTGTTACAAAGTGGATTATTTAATTTCAACAAAATAACAGAAGTAGGAGGAAGTCAGTGTTTTATGGATATACAGTATTTGTTTCAAAGTGACCAATAAAATTCACAGTAAATAAAATACGAACTTGAGATAAACATACTTCTTTATTGGCTCCAGTAAAATACTTTTTATTATGAACAGATTAATAAAGTTATCACATTTATCTTTCAGGATTCATGTCATTTGAGACAGCATGGCATCTTAAACTGATTCATTCTTTCTCAGAAAAGCATTATCTCGGTTAAGATATTTTTCCTAACTTACCTGACTATACAACAATACATTTTATATGTTAAGACTTTTTTGAATATCTAAAAATCAAAATCAAAATAAACTAAAAATTTAATTTTCTGATAACCAGAGTACGCTGTAAACATTTCTAAAATGTCTACAATAAAAGACATCCATATCTAGCCCTCTTTGTTAACATTTTGCTTTAGAGTGAAAAAACAATATATCAAAGTGCTCAAGTCACTTCACAATGTTGTTTTTCTAATTAAATGGCTGGGAATGTGCTTATTAAAGTCAAAATTTTTAAATGAGATGCACATTCAGTGCTAATTAATCAAACATTTAAAAACATACAAATACCATCACAACATATTTTCCACATTTTAAACAAAAGTGCTATGATCACAGTAAGTTGAGCATTTAATACTAATAACTCATAATTTTATATGAATGAAACAAGAGTATACAAAAATTCACCTAAAAACTTGTTTTGTTTCCAATTCCACAAATATCAAGAGGGCAGAAATTATTGCTGAGGATTATAACGCAAAGATATATGCTATATACGTGAATCAATATGGTTCCAGACTTTAGAAAATAAAAACCATTTCGTTTGACATAATGAAGAAAGAAAAGTGATTAACTTTAAAAGCTTTTAGAATTTTGGAAATGAGAATACACTATAAAGGAAAATAGGAGTGTCTGGGTGGCTCAGTCATTAAGCGTCTGCCTTCATCCCCCTCCCCCATTAAGCAGGGGTCCTGGGATCAAGCCCCGCATTGGGCTCCCTGCTCAGTCAGGAGCCTGCTTCTCCCTCTCTTGCTCCCCCTGCTTGTGTTCCCTCTCTGGCTGTCAATCTCTCTGTGTCAAATAAATAAATAAAATCTTTAAAAAATAATAATAAAAAATAAAGGAAAATATTTATAATCCCTAACACTTTATAGAAGCCATTTTTAATACCCAGCAAATATAAATTACAAATGATCAAGGTTATTTAATATTCTCCAAGGTTTTCCAAGCCCAGTTGTTCTTAACCTAGGGGCACATCAGAATTGCCCAGGGAACTTCAGGGAGAGGGGAAATGCAATGTACTTACACCAAAATCTCTCAGGCTGGAGAGATTTTTTTTAACTTTAAAGTTCCCAAAGTGATCCTAAATGTTCAGCCCGGGTTGAGATCCACTAATTCCCTTAGTTATGGTCTCTTCAAATCAAGTTAGAAAATGAATAAATTAATAAAATACCATTATATTATCTTTGGGGGGGATCTATAATGGAAAAAATGAGAATACTGTTCCCACAAATCTCCCTCTGCCTTTAATAAATGATTTCAGGCTATTTTAAACATGACTATTACTCAAAATCTATGTGATCTAATAAATACAAGTATTCCAAGAAATGTATTAACACTGCACTTAATCACTTTCAAGATTTACATTTCACTAAAGAATACATCTTCCAAATGGAGAGTAATCCAAAACTTTGTATTCATCTTCTAAATCAACATACGTAGACACAAAGTAAACCTACACTTCCTTCTAGCCAATAAACAGCAGAGGTGAAACTGTTTTAATTATATATGAAGAATTAGTTTACTGCAAAGAAATGTTATGTCCAAAATATTGGAGATGCAGTTTACCTACTTTTCTAGTAGGTAACACAACACAACCCAAATGTGCCTAAATCACAATTATTTGATTAGGCTATTTCAATTCATACTGCACAGTCCTTTTTAATACAATTACAAACTCACCTGTGCAGCAAGGTCAGGGTTCTGACTTAGGGACTGCATCATGCTTCTCATGTAGGGGGCAGACAACATGTTTTGCATAAGTTGTGGGTTTTCAGTTATTTGTTGCAACAAGCTCTGCATTCCTGGTGTGTTGAACATACTACCTGAAAGTATGTTAAAAAAAAAAGACATTGTATCAAGAAAAAGACACATAAAAGTGAAAGCTTTAAAATACAATATATACCATGTGTAATTTTAGGAAATGCAGATGAGCATACATTTTATTAACCAATTGAACCAAGAAAGAATTTTAAAACTAAGATCTCCAAAACTACACACTCAACATATACCTGTAAAGGAGGGTTTATGATATTAAACATTCTGGTTACATTTATAGTAAAATCAAATCTAATGGAAAGGCTAGGTTCTAAAGTCAATTTAAGAAGCAAAAATTAGATATAGCCGAAATTACTACTGAAAATCCCACATAGAGAGTAAGCCAACATTTCCTCTAGGACTGCTTAATTAGAAGATCACGTCCAGCATTTGATATGCTCATACTTAAAAGAAAGTAAGCCCTCTCATATCCAGGAAGCCACAGATACAGCCTCCATCCCATTTTAACTCAGTACTGACACTCAGCAAAATAGCAGGCACATTTAACATTTCAGAGCACAGACTAAGAACAGTGACCAGAGCCAGATTACTTGGGTTCAAATCTAATCTAACTACGTAACCTTGGGCAAGTTATTTGGCTTCTTCATACTTCCAGTTTCCCCATCTGTCAAATGGAATAGAGTATCTACTGCACAGGGCAGGTTGTCACAATTAAATTAGTTAATGCACAAAAAGTGCTTGTTACTTATTTTTATTATTTTTTTTGCTAAGAGCTATAGCTAAATTTATACAAATTCAACTTTCTTTAAAAACTAATTTGCTCAACACATAACCAGATTTTCACCTGATGACTAGATATACTCAACCTCAAATATTCTCAAACTCATTATACGCAAACTTAACTCATCATTTTTTTCATTTCCCATCTGCTCTCATTCCATCCAGTGTAATCTGATCAGGCTTAAAACACTGACACTTCCCATTTATTTTCCTAGTTTATTTTAATTTTGCTGGGGGTTTTTTGGTAATCATTCTTTTTTTTCCCCTATTTTCTCAAGTTGTTTCAATTAGGTTATTTTCGACATCCTGGAGTCTAAGAATATTCTAACAAAAGTGTTGACAAACAGCCTGCAGAGCAAATATGGCCCATGACCTGTTTCTATACAACCCACAAACTGAAAATGGTTTTACATTTTCAAATGGTTAAAGAAACAAAAATATTTTGTGAAATGTGAAAACTAGATGCAATTCAAACTTCAGTGTCCCTAAATAACATTTTCTTGGAACACAGTCCTGCTAAGGCGTTCACAGTCTATGGCTGCTTGTGTACAACCAAGACCGAGTAGTTCTGACAGAGGCTTGTGAACGGCCCTCTCCTACTGCGGCTCAGTGCACCACACTATTGCTATAGCATGTTGTTATTTTTTAACTACCAATACATACCAATCACATAAGAACAAGAAGAAAAAGAAAGTTGGACTACAAATATTGTGCTTTTAAGGCACAATGGAGCATGGATTATTTTATCAAATGAGATGGTAAAGCACTGTATTTTTATGCAATGACGCTGAAGGAATACGATATACTTCAACATTGCTAGACTAAGCACTCATCACAGTACAGTATTCCCAACTCAGAGGTAAGCAACAGTCAGGAAAATACAAAATTTAAAATGCAGCCATCTCATCATAGTCAGATTTCTTTACAGAAATAAAAAATGAAAATAAGCCTACAACCAGTTAAGCTGGCAAGTGGCTTATTGGTTAACCAAAAAGGAAAGCAGTAAGTATACAAGTAGTAATTGGCATGCTTAATGAAATCTTGATTGCAGCAGGCAAATATAAATGTGTCCAGAGAAAATAAACTCATTTAAATCCATTAGTCTTTCAAGGAGAACAATTTCTCAAAAGTTAAGGACATTGGGCTCACAGCATCAATATTCAATTAAAAAACAATGCAAATTATTCTGAGTGGTATTCCTTTGTTTTTAATGAGTTGACAGATGTTACAGCTCAGCTGTTTGAGAAGTCAATGCCAAATTTAAAGTGACTGAAAAATTAGCTTTTATAAACAGTCTGCAAAGAACTACAAGCAAAAAACTACTTTCAAAGTCGAGAAAATATTAATTCAATGCAACCACTGAAATAGAATCAGCTAAGATGTGCGTATCTGATGATGATGAAAACATATGTGGAGGACTAAAAGGATTAAATACAGAAAGCTTATAAAAAAAAAATAAGGTATTTAAAAACTATGGTTATTCATTGTCTTACTCATCAGCAGGTACTCCGGAAAATATTTTGAACTCTCATGTTATTCAACCAAGTAGGAGTATCAATGGTGAACACCATTTCACTCTTGTGAACTTCGTGATACTCAATTCCGTGAATTTTTGCCAGAAATATCCTGACTTGTCCAACCACACAGCAGCAGTTTGATGGCTTACCAGAGATAAAGTTTTTGTTTTGTAAGAGGTAAAGTTTTACTTCAAAATTTTTTTTAGCTAAAGGTTAAGCTGAAATTCTGAACCACTTAACCACCATTACCAAACACCAAATGACTCTGGAAATTATCTTTTGCTAGAGACTTGGTAATGTTTCCCAATGAATTCTACCCATAATTATAAGGCAAACGGCATGCACACATGTGAAACTCATACTGTGGTAAAGTGATTTTGACAGCAGCAGAAATTGTTTAAACGACAACGTCAAGGTGCTTTATACATTCTCTTGCTGTCAAAAGTTAAAATGAGATCTCCATTCCCACAAATTTATAGCAGATATTTTTTTTAGATCATACTACTGTTCAGCAGCATTTTTGGGGCCTCAATACAAGTGCAAAGAAAATCTCCACATTTCAAAATTCATTTAACTGTGTAACTGAGGTCCTACCACCTAACCTTCAATTGGAAGTGATTAATCTGCAATGACACGTTAAAAGCAAAGAAGAATCTAACAGAATCCTATAAATGCTTCCAACTGACGACTATGCTATTAAAATCATATACTTTTGGAATAAGTACATATTTAAGTAAAATCTCATTACACATCACACTAACAGATGAACATGCAATTTGATTTTGACAACAGGAAACACTGTGAACATCAATTAGCAAATGTCATCCCTAAAAAAGAATTCCATTCCTATCATTAGTAGGTACATATGAAAAAGTATTACACTCAATTTTTACTTATCATAATGTGTTTTCTCTCATAATATTCTCGCTTTGCTCTTGATATGCAAGGCCTAAAGTATTACCTGGCCCCTTGTAGGAGAAATTTGCTGACTCCTGCTCTAAGATTTCCTCACCTTCTAGAGTAAGTGCTTACAGGGCAAAAGAAGAGTCAAGAGTTTTATCTTTAGGGGCGCCTGGGTGGCTCAGTTGGTTAAGCAACTGCCTTCGGCTCAGGTCATGATCTCAGGGTCCTGGGATCAAGCCCCGCATCGGGCTCCCTGCTCGGCGGGAAGCCTGCTTCTCCCTTTCCCACTCCCCCTGCTTGTGTTCCCTCTCTTGCTGTCTCTCTCTGTCAAATAAATAAATAAAATCTTTAAAAAAAAAAAAAAAGTTTTATCTTTACAGGTACATGTGTATATATGTGTGTATGTAACTGCAAAGAGTTGAGTAAAAAATTACAATAATGTACACTATGCTAACAAATTGTTAGGCCAAAATAAAAAAAAAAAAATCTTAAAAAAACCCCCAAATTGTTAGGCCAACAGAATCCATTCCCTTTTGCTGTTTTTTGTTCTCCTTTGAGGGAAACAATAACATAAAATCTTAAAGTATCAAGCCATTAAGTAAAAAATCTGAATAAAAAGTCACAAAACTGATTTTTTGACAAAAGCTGTTACTGCAGATAACCATGCTATAGTTTAAAAAAGCAATTCATGGGTGCCTGGGTGGCTCAGTTGGTTACAGCTCAGGTCATGATCCTGGAATCCCGGGATCGAGTCCCGCTTCAGGTCCCTGCTCAGTGGGGAGTCTGCTTCTCCCTCTGACCCTCCCTCCCATGCTCTCTCTCTCTCATTCTCTCTCAAATAAATAAAAATCTTAAAAAAAAAAAAAAATTCACCTATCAGTTAGGAAATCTGATTAAATCTTAGCTCTGTCTGCTCTAGGATCTTTGTAATGTGAATAAAGTATCTCTCTCAAAACATAGTTTAAGAATCAAAAAACACAGTTTAACATAGCTTAAGTAACAGAACGGGGTAATTTTTTTCCTGATTTAAAAATGGCATTACTTCAATGTGAACTAGACTTAGATCATTCCTAAATGATCACCACTTACTCTGGTGATCATGAATAACTAAAACTATGTCAAATATACTTCAGTTTTTATCAACTCTTTATTATATTCAAAAACTTCATGATACCCACTATGGTCTATAAAGAATATCTACTACAGTGACCACCAATGACTCTCCATTATGACTTCTCAGTAATGACCTTTTGAAAAATTCCTCATCCAGCACCTCACCTTTCCACTCCCTCTGCCAAACACCAGCCATCTCTGAAAGCATATCCAAGTCCTCCTCACCTGAGGGAAGTGGCCCCATGCTTTCATTTCTTCTCATTTCCATGCCAACTAAAATCATCACTCTAGCTACAGATTTTAGACCTAATGTTTATCATCTGAATAGCTGACAAAAGGACTTCCATTTATTGAGTCTAGTCTATGGAGAAATGATCAAAAGTAAATTCCTAACCTGTTCACATATCAGAATCTCCAGCAGCTTTATACACAGATCTTAAAGCCGCTGTAGATGATTCCAATCCATGAGGTCTGAGGCTAGGACCCGGGAATCGGACTTGTAACAAAGCTGGCAGATGCTCTGATCCAGCCCATTTAGCCCTGGTTTTAGGACTGGAGTGTGAGAATCCACCAATCTACCATAGAAACTAGACTAAAGCCAAGAAAACACATGCTCCAGTAGGGAGTCCACAGGTAACTGTATTCTCTCTGCACTTCAGTTTTCCTACTGTTGAAACAAGATGACCACCCACTTCTCCCAAAACCATCCATAAGATAGTTTTGGGAGAAGTGGGTGGTCATCTCATCAGTAACCCTTTCCACTATAATGCACACAAGTGATTAATACTAATCACTACATATTTAAAAATTCAATTAAAAAACTTGCAACATGAAAAGGTAATTGATAAGTTACTTCACACACACACACACACACACACACAAAGCACAAAGAATAACAGTATAAAAAATGTTTTCATTATTCCAATAAGTGAGGATAACAAAGAAAAACAGTGTGAGCTGTTATGAGCCTACCTCCTAATCCAGGCCCCAAATTTGGCGCAGATGAACTCTGCCCGGAAGTGCCACTGGCAGCACTACCAGCAGTGCCCCCCACAGCACTGGTGGTCCCACTGGAAGCCGATGAACTCTGGGAAGCCTGTGGAGCCCATGGATTGGGTAATGGATCTCTATTTTCTGTACGGGAAGGTTGACTACCTTCACCTGAGGATGTATTGCTCACTAGGGAAGCAAATGGATTACCACCAAACTGTAATAAAAGACACAAAAATCATAAAGAATAAGCTTTTGTTTTAAATTACAGATATGGAACTCTTTTTTGAATGAAAACTGTACTCCCCATATAAAGGTACCCTTCAATCACACACATATTTGTGTTAAAACAGGAACTGCCCTTTGGCCTACGCCTTAGGGGCCTGCATTATCACCTGTTCTTGTGCAGCACTCAGCATTGGTTCCTGAATATCTGTGTACATGCGCCGTAAAGCATTGTATCCCCCTGGGATGCTTTCTAGGTTGCTCAAGGCTCGGTCCTGGTTTCTCATCATTTCCTGCATCATTGCCGGATTCCTGGCAAGTTCCAATGTCTACGAAAAAGATATCCATATAAAAAGGCACTGAAATACACATGAATTAATTTAGCTATTAACCAGCAGAGCTGATTTGTTTACAAGTTTTCTAACTATGAATTAGCAGTCTTCAAAAATTAAATCAGAAACTTATTTCCAATAATTCCTGCTGGATGTCACCTCAATCTAACATTCAAATAACACCAAGAAAGAAGCACTCTGTTGTGAATGAATGCCCATCTCCTGAATTGGATTCTGTTTCTTAAATCTGCAAAAAACTGTTTACAGTGATCTTTAAAATATAGCAGAAAATTCAAATTTCAAATAGTCCAAATTAGTGTGTTGTTGAATTTTCTTAAATACCAGGATTTCTTTTTGTAGCTTAGCCATCTACAAAAGGTAAGCTCCTTAAGCATAGAAAATTAAGAACTAAGTATATGATTCTTTAGCTAAGTGAGCTGAAAGAACTTTCCACATACTTGTCTCATAATATCTGGATTATTCAGCATATGACTAATTTCTGGATTTCTCTGAATCAACTGCTGCATTTGTGGATTGGCCATAATTAACTGCCTCATCAGGTCAGGATTTGAGAGCATGCTCTGGACAAAGGGATTCTCCATAATCTGGACCATCATTTCAGGATTGGACATAAGTTGCCGCTGCATCTGGCTTTGTAGTTCAGAGAAGTTAGTAGTATTCAAACCCAAGCTACTCAGACCTGCAAGCCCTCCAAGGCCACCTAAGAAGATAAAGGGAAAAAGACACATAAATAAAAGTCAGAAATTTTATCATTAATATGACTGTGCTAAAATATGAAAATGCAAAAATACTGACTCAATAGTCCCATTATGGAAAACCACTTGTTTTTAAAGATTTTATTTGAGAGCGAGTGAGCGGGGGGGTGGGGGTGGGGGGGTAGAGGGAGAGGGAGAAGCAGGCTTCCCACTGAGCAGGGAGCCCGATGTGGGACTCGATCTCAGGACCCTGGGATCATGACCTGAGCCAAAAACAGACGCTTAACCGGCTGAGCCACCCAGGCGCCCTAGGAAACCATTTTAAAGCACACAGAATTCCTATTACTTTTAAAAATACATGTTTGATTTCTGTAATTAATACTAGCCAAAAATCCACTCACTCTGTTATTTAATTTTAAATAATAAAACCAACTAAAACATGTATTTGCTGTGTGGCTCAGTTGGTTAAATGTCTGCCTTTGGCTCAGGTCATGATCCCAGGGTCCTGGAATCGAGTCCCACATGGGGCTCCTTGCTCAGCAGGGAGTCTGCTTCTCCCTCTCCCTCTGCCTGCCACTCCCCCTGCTTGTGCTGACAAATACATAAATAAAATCTTTAAAAATATATACTTTAAATATGTATTTCCTACGTGTGATATAATACAATATATTTTTGGTCTTTGTCCCAGATTCCTGGCACAGAGCTCCTAAAAGCCTTAGAATTTCCCGAGTAAAGGGAGTGTCTTTTGTTCTACATTACAAGCCCCTTTAGATCACACTTCATTTATGCCAATTAATTACTTAGTGTGGGGCACCTAGATAGCCTCTGGATGGGTGATCACCAAAAAGACCAAGTGACAAAAGAGTTGGTACTTCTAGCCCCACCCACCAACCTCCAGGAAGGGGAGGGAAAAGAGCTAGATTAGAGATTGAGCTCTGTAAAAACTCATGAGCAATGAGATTCAGAAACTTTCATGTTGGTGAACACTTCTAGGGCATGGGAACTCTGCACTCTCCTACACCCCCACTTCTTGCCCTATGCTTCTCTTCCATTTGTTTATTTCTAATATACTGGTAAACATAAGTAGTGTTTTCCTGAATTTTGTGAGTTGTTCTAACAAATTATCAAATGTGGAGGGGAACTGTGGGACCCCCCCCAATTTATAGCCTGCAGGTCAAAACACATGCTCCAGTACCTAGACTGGTATCTGAAGGAGAGGCAGTCTTGGGGGACTGAATGACACACTTTTAAATCTATGGGATCGGACACTAACTCCAGGTAGGTACTGTCAGAACTGAACTACGAGACACCCAGATGGTGTTGGAGGGTTGGTTGGTGTCAAAGAGATAATCTAGAACATGCCCTCTCAAAGAAAAGATGAAAAATATGTACTGGATTATACTTCTAAAATCTTTTTCCAGACCAGCTAGTAGAATTCACCTATAAACTCTAGTTAGAACAGAGCTGCTGCTCATCAAGGAGAGAAAACGCCAGGACATAACAATGGAAACAGATGTCTCTTTAGAGGAATTAAGTCACGGAAAAACCTAACAGATCCAAGATGATTGAGTGATTATCATAAAATGTTAACTGTCAAAATTACATAACCAACCAAATGAATTCATTCAAGTAACAGGGAATAACTGCATAGAGAAGAGGTATGGAAAGAGATTTAGCGGGGAAGAGGTTGTAGTTTAAGGGGTAAGAGAAGAGTTTTTGTATTTGTTTTATTTACCGAGCACTTTCTAATAGGCCAAGGACTATGCTACCCACATAGGGAATAACATGGTAAGAAACAAGTACAACATACAGAACTCAATGTACTGGGAAGGCAGACAAGGAAAACAAATACAGAGTAAGTACTTTAACAGAAATAGTCACATGATACAGAAATAGTCACATGATACTATGGTGATATAGTACCTAAGTGGGATGGCTACTTTCCTAAGATGACACTTAATGAGTATAGGGAATGAATAGGCTGGCAAGAAATGGGAAGGATTGGAAGAAAGATTTAATACTAAGCACAACAAACATTATATACAAAAAGCATAGAGATAAATATGACTACTGATGTGTTCCTGAAATCACAAAAAATTCAGTCTGACTAGAATGGCAGATAGCAGTGCTCACCAAACATTCCATGTGCAGCCTTTTATTTCTTTTGCAGTTGGACAGACCCATGTGACCAGTTACGACCAAAGGACTGCAAAAAATGCATCACTTCTGGCCAAAGTACAGAATGTCCAGCTTGAGACTCTTGGCTATCTCTTCTGCCATGTCCCAAGTGATGTAGCTACAAGATGGCAGGATTCCATTAGCCTGAGTCCCTGAGGACTGACCATGTAGATGGGGGCTTCACTGCAGAATGAAGGAAAGCTCTGGAGCAAGAAATTAAGCTTTGTGGTAAGAAGCTACTGAGTTTGAGGTTATCTATTACCAAAAGATAAATAACCTAATAAAACTGCTGAGCTGTGTTAAGAAATGAGAATGGAGAGGTAGGCAAAAGCTAAATCTTAAAGTCTTGATAGATTTTAAGCACAACAGTCACTTCAGATGTTCTTATTCTAATAACAGTGTAGAAATGACTCAGAGTAAACATTACAGATTTTTTAAAAAGTCAAGGAACTGCATCAAGGAAATAACAACAGGGAATATTTGCAAGGGATGGGAGAAAAAAGAGGTATGGAGAGAATTAGTGGGGAAGAGGCAGTAGTTTGAGGGGCAAGGTAAGAGTTTCTGCATTTGTTTTCCTTTGCTTTCTGAGGAGACACACACAGGCTAAAGTACTAGAGAACATCAAGTAATATCAAAGAGGAGAGCTGAAAAAAGACAGAGTTCACAAGTGCTATGGGCTGAGGAACAGATTTGAGAATCACCAAGATACAGGAGGAAGATAATGTCATAACAAGAAGAAAGACAAAGCAGTACTCTGGGGAACAATACCAATCAAAAGAAAAAAAACCCATAAATGAGACAGAAAGAAAAAGCCAGAAAATTAACCAGGGAAAAACAGTAACAGGAGTTAACAGGAAGAAAATTTCAAGGACAGACTGGTAAGCACTGAGAGAAACTGAATTAAAACAAAAATGTGTCCACTAAATTTGGCAAGCCAAGAGGTCAATAGTGACCTTACCAAATGAATTTTCAATGAATTGATGGGGGAAAACAACAGAGCACAGCAAACTAGTGAAAGGGAAATACAGACAGAAAAAGGAAAATGCCTCTTCCAAAGACAGCTAAGAAGAGAAGCAAAGGAAAGGGTGATGGTGGGATTCTGTAGCTTTTATACATGGGCTGGGTCTTCATGAAAAGAGGCACCAAAAAAGAAAAGCTAACTATATAGGGTAAATGGAATAAATGATGAAGAAAAGCAACTGAGATAGGAGGGGATAGGAATGAGACTGGAAATGGAAGGAAATGGGGGAGATGTGTGGCCTCAGACAAATTAACCAAAAGCTTTTCTGGGCTTCAATTTCTTTGCCTATAAAATGAGAGACGAGAATTGCCTCTAAAATGAGGGAAGAGATTTACTTCAACAATACCTTTCATGACTCTGAACATTAAATCATTTCATCCTAATCTCTCCAGATTGTTCATGTCAATAATTCTGCCATCTAAAATTTACCAAAAGAGATACATTTACCCTAAGATCATTCTAGAAAACAAGAGCAGCAAAAATGTAAAAACTAAAAAAAAAAAAAAAAAAAGGAAATGTGAATCCCTGCCATACCCTAAAAGGTTTCCAACATAGCTGGCACAGAACTAAATTACTAAAAAACGTTTTCTGGAAGGAAGGGAAGATATAAGATATGATCCTTGATGTGCAAACAATACATATTTTTTTTAAATGTCATTTCAAAGTACTATTATACAACTTAAGAACTGAAAGAAGCACCAAACCATTTAGCTATCTAATTGAAGTGTCTGTTAGTTTCAGAATACTCTTTTTCTTCAACAAAACCTTCCACAGAACCTCACTATAAAACTGATATAAGAAAAGTGGTTTGGGCTGATGCAGGAGCTCCTTAGCCAATGGACTTGCTCCTAGGCCCCAAAGTCCTTCATTTTACATATCAGAAAATTATATTCAGGAGGTTAGCTTAGCTTATGATCAACAATCAGCTAATCTTCCTCAGATTCAATAATGTGGTAAGTCAGATCAGGTACACATATGCTACATCTCTTCGATTATTTAAAAAAAAAAGTGCCACTAATTTATCACTTATTAATGTAAATGTAAGCTAACCAAGCACATCTGTATTCCCAAATACTTCCTTAACACCTACAATTGAAGAAGTAAGCTACAGACATAATAATTGTTATTCTTGTGGAAGTGACTTAATGTTTAATTCTATCATTTTATCCAAAACCACCCTGGGTGAAAAGGAGTTTTTTTCCTATCCCTGTAAAATAATTAAAGACACTTACCTAAACCAAAAGGGTTGCTAGTGGCAGAACCAGATGTGGAGTTAGTACTAGGAGCTGTGGATGTGGTAACGTTGCTCCCACTGGTATTTGTTTGCTGAGATGAATGATCCTGAGGCCTAGGAAAAATAACCAAATCCTGGTATAAACAGTGGAGCTAATTATTTTTTAAAAGAACCTCTGAAATTCCAGAATTCTCAGAAATGAAAGTCTAAGTTTTCAGACCAATTCAAATTGTCATAACGTAAATACCCTGAGATAACTAAGCATTAAGAACATAAATATAAAGAAGCATAGCAAAACCCTATACAAGTTAAACTATACTTCAACCGCTCCCCACCTCCAGTATAGATACATAAATATTTCACTACTTTCAAGCATAATGATAATATAAGATATGGAGATGGGTCACCCCAGAGAAGAGAAATCAATGACTAGTCACACCCACAAAGCTTGACTATATAAGCAATTTTTTTATCTACCCCCTTCTAAGTTCTTGAGGATTGGGGGCAGTTCTACTCAGCCTCTTGAAATTGTTAAAAGTAAAATATAAAAAGCCATCACCAAAAGCACACTGAGAAATCAATACCAGTAATAACTTGTATTGTTTTAATTACTTAATATTATCTTTAGGTAAAAAAAATAGAGATACTTTATTGGAAACCCCTTCCATCTGATACCAGTTAAGAGCTCTGAATCTCATTGCTTCTTTCACTGATTCTAAGATGTACATTTTTTCATTATAACATTTCTGAAATCAAGATCTGTCTTACAACTGCTGACAACCAGGCACCAATTGTCATGCCTATGCATAGGTATTCTGTAGGACTTCAACTAAGTGATTATACCAGACATGCTGTGTTATTTAGTAGCACATAAAATGTCTTCAGGAGGGGCACCTGGGTGACTCAGTCAGTTAAGTATCTGCCTTCGGCTCAGGTCGTGATCCTGGGGTCCTGGGATTGAGCCCCACATCAGGCTTTCTGCTCAGTGGGGAGTCTGCTTCTGCCTCTCCCTCTGCCCTTCCCCCTGCTTATGCTCGCTCTCTCTCAAATAAATAAATAAAATTTAAAAAATAAGGCTTCAGGAAGATTTCACCATTAATTGGTACTAATAAAGTTACTATGTATACAGAAAAGCATAAGAACAGAACAGAAGGAATGAATTTTGTGTCAGGGAAACAACTATTTGCTGTTGGGGGAAAACCAGCATAAAATTTTGCAGAATGGGTGTCAGTGGCTTGGAAGAAACTCCTGGAGAAAATATCGTAGCACTCTTTTATGAAATGCTGCACCACAAACTCTCAACAGTAGAGTTTCATCACATATGCAAAAACATGAATACTTATGATGAAGTCAAAACGTGATTCAAAAGAATCACTCAATGTCAAGTAGTGTTAGGAAGACTTTAACCAATTTATTTCATGTATATTTTCTTTGTATGCATGCATAAGAGTTATATCCAAAAATGAGTCTAAAGGAGCTCTTTCACTAAATATAGAATAAAAATTTCAAGTGAAAAGAAAACATAACAGTTTGGCAGTATTTTTTATTAGTGATACACAATATGAAGGTGTCTCTTAAAAACTGATAATGAAGGGCCCCTGAGTGGCTCAGCTGGTTAAGCGTCTGCCTTCGGCTCGAGTCATGATCCCAGGGTCCTGGGATAGAGCCCTGCACCTGGCTCCCTGCTCAGCGGGGAGCCTGCTTCTCCCTCTACCTCTGCCCCACCCCACTTGTGCTCGCTCACGCTCTCTCTCTAATAAATAAAACCTTAAAAAAATTGATAATGAAATATGGCTACTCATTTGTGGTTTGTCAAGGGGATGAGTCACCTTTGATCTTGTCCAAAAATCTCCCTAAAACAAAAAACATCGTTAAAAACATACTAATTTGCTTATTCTATAATGCAAATAATTTAGAATTGACTTAATTTAGAAATATGACTCAATACTGATGAATTCCCTAAAATATCAAATGTGTAAGCATCAGCATTACTGAATCATTTTTTTTTTGACTGGTTATCCACAACAAATAAATGAATTTTAATCTATTTACATATTAATGGCAGAGAAAGCCATGTAAAGCCAAGACTGGTTATTTTTTTTTAAAGATTTTATTTATTTATTTGAGAGAGAGTGTGAGCACAAGCAGGGGTAGGGGCAAAGGGAGAGGGAGAAGCAGACTCCCCACTGAGCAAGGAAGCCCAACGTGGGGCTCAATCCCACAACCCTGAGATCACGACCTGAGCAGAAGGCAGACGCTTAACCAACTGAGCCACCCAGGCGCCCCAAGACTGTTTTTTTTTTTTTTTAAAAAAGAAATACAGTTGACTCTTGAACAAATGTTTGAACTACAGAGGTCCAATTATACTTGGAGTTTTTTTTTTCAATAAAGATAGGACAGTACTATAAATGTATTTTCCTTATGACTTTTTTTTTAAAGATTTTATTTATTTGAGAGAGAGAGAGAGAGAAAGCATGAGAGGGGTGAGTGTCAGAGGGAGAAGCAGACTCCCTGCTGAGCCGGGAGCCCAATGCGCGACTTGATCCTGGAACTCCGGGATCATGACCTAAGCTGGAGGCAGTAGCTTAACCAACTGAGCCACCCAGGCACCCTCCTTATGATTTTCTTTATAAATTTTTTATTGTTATGTTAATCACCATACATTACATCATTAGTTTTTGATGTAGTGTTCCATGATTC